CACTTTCCCTCTCTATCCAAAATTAAAAAAAGCTTTGGATTTAGATACACTCTAACCTCTAAAAGGTAACCGTAAACCTCAACCTAACCCTGAACCCAAAGTGTAAACTTTATGCTCACCATAAACCCATCCCTAAAAGGTATTCTATACTCAACCTGAAGTCAACCAAGTCTAACCCTTAACCATCACCCCATACCATGGTCCTTTTTTTTTTTTTTTATCACCTAGGCAATACCAAGCACTTAACCCTTGCACTTAACACCTGCACTGCAAGGGTTAAAACACTTTTGCCTGGAGTTCTTTTTTTAAAGATTCTAAACAAGAACCCGCAATGACACAATATTCACCTCATGCTCAATATGGAAATTGATTACAAGTCCACTATTATGTTGGCAATCTTACAGGGCTGTTTATTCACTGGTCATGCCATGGAGAGATTTGGGATGGTGCGGCCCGTCTTCTGAAGCATTTCAGTAACTGGAAGGAACTCGCTTAACAGCTAAACAAATAATGGTCACTGGGTCATAAGAGCATTGATAGCACTGGTACATCTATTTGCTGGCTAGTACTGTGACTTGGTGGGACAGAGGGAATATCACGTGTCCTCACACCCTCAAGAATTTTCTGGGTGGCTGCAGCGGGGATCAGGAAGGGACAAGAGGATATCTTTTTGTTCAGAACATAGGTTGTATATGTAAAGTGCCAGAACATACATAATCACTAGTTGTTAGGAGTACATTTGTATATTTCCCAATATAGTGAGAGATGGAGATGTATATATTATGACCTTTATAGAGGGTGATAAAGCTGAACTCTGGGCAGACCGCTAAACACATAGCTGATGTGCGCTTTTACTTGGCAAAAGGTTTGTAAATTTGTTTAGCTTGTCTTGTGATTTACATAGCTCTCTCGGAATACATAACCAGTAGGTGATCTCACTTTCATCTACTGCAGTTAAGTAAACCAGCAGCATCACCAACCTATCACCAGACTGATGACTGGGCAGTGAAGCCATCAGAACACTAAGGCTGCATTCACGTGTGTTCTAGGACTCCGGCCACAAGAACCTATGGATTCTTGCAGCAGCAATCCCAGGTCTATCTATTTATTTTGGGATAAACGATTGTCCCTGGATGCAGAATAGATGCATCCAGGGACCATCATCCGTTCCGAAACACAGGTAATTGTACCATGTATGATTACATGTGGACTGCTGCTGACCGATGCAGCCACTGTCATGAACTGGCAAACCTGGGATTCCTGCTGCAATAAGCCGTCTAGTCTTGCCACAGTAATCCCAGAATGCACATACAAGCCTGTGTGAGTGCAGTCTTAGGAGGACACCACTCTTAAAGCAAATGTCTGGTGATGGCAATGTGCAGTGCAATGCAATAGAACATGGCTCTCCCTGTTGGTGCTGCCTCCTATGGCCTGGTCCTTGCTGGCAGGGGATTACATGTGTCCAATATACACAGACAGCCTTGGATGCTTATAACTTGCTGTATTTAGGTAAACACTGCAGGATTATTTATTGCAGGGAATGATATTTTCCAACACACAGCCCATTTCCAATAAATCCATGGAAGATTGCTTCCAACTCTCACCTTGGTGTCTCTATTGCCTAGGATGGCAGTTCCCACGGCGCAACAGACACTCACCTGTATGATGCCCGCAGTAAAGTCTGGCCCCACATCCAACGGATAGTTTTCAATCAAATAAAAGGCAGTCGCACACATTACCAGAATGTGCTGCTGGTTGTGCAGGTTTACACAGCTGGAACAGACAAATACACCAATCAATTTCAAGTACAATATAATACAAAAGCTGTCATAAAATGGAATCACTGACTAATCAGTGATCAGGTTACCATCGTCATCCACTCTTAGTTTAAAGAGGAATACTTTTGTTGAGTGTGAACATCGGTTGACCTTCACTGAATTACCTTCACTTCATATCACTGGAGACAAAAACATCTTTCCATAATGAAGGAAAGTCTCCACCTAGTTGACCCTGGATTGGCACCCCCCGCCGGTCCGGGGGGGGGGGGGGGGGGGGGGGGGGGGTGTTGAACACATTCCCTCTCTATCCAAAATTAAAAAAAGCTTTGGATTTAGATACACTCTAACCTCTAAAAGGTAACCGTAAACCTCAACCTAACCCTGAACCCAAAGTGTAAACTTTATGCTCACCATAAACCCATCCCTAAAAGGTATTCTATACTCAACCTGAAGTCAACCAAGTCTAACCCTTAACCATCACCCCATACCATGGTCCTAAACCTCATACTAATAACACAATTGCGACACAGAAAACTACTAATGCTGAAGTTGACCTGCAAATCTTTGCAACAGAATGCAACTTGTGCTTCTGAAATGATCGCAGCTTATACTATAGGTACACTTGATTTGTTCTGTTTGGAGAGCAGTCAGAGAAAAGACGACTCATCACTTGTAGTGATCGTGGTAGTTAAGTGGTTAGAGGAATTGCCATTGCACTTGCAGTGATGCTGTGGTGCTGAGCGATGGAAGTCAAGGACACTCTTAGTAATAAAAAGCCGGATGTCATGAAAGGCCACAACGCACAGCACATAATTCAGAATGGCATTAGGCCCCATTCACACCTGACCGTTTTGTAGCGCGTCCTACGCTCGATGAACGCTCTACAAAACGGTCAAAAAAATAAATAGCATTGTAGTCAATGGTATCGTTCCCACCTGTCCGTATTTCCGCCCGTCCCGAACGCACTACAAAACGGCCCACGCATGAAAAGGTCCCGGAGCGTTTTTTGCGGCGTATGGGTCCGTTTTGTAGGGCGTTTTCCATTTGTATACTGCCAAGTAGCCTTTGGAATCGCGCGACGGTCTTTCCTCATACTACAGGATGTGACTGGTGTACACATTATTAGAAGTGAGCACTAGGCTTGCAATACTGAACTGACTGTCAAGTATCCATTCAATACCTCAGAGAATGAAATCATTTCTGCAAGATACCACACCACCCCTTCAAATCGATTGTTAGTGAAATAATCAGAGAACATTTTATTGAAGGTGCTGTGTGTCATTTATTCCGGCACTGTATAAACATTTCAGATCTATGAACTTCTTGCAGGTGTCCATTAACGCCCATACATTTCCAGCTGTATTATCACTGGATTAGTAGCACCGACATAAGCAGTGTCACTGGGGAGCTCAGAATTGACCTTCCTACTTCCTACTGGTCACTGCTCTGCGGTCCTCATGAACTAGCAGTTTACACCTACCTCCCAACAGGTCAGCAATGCACTTTTTCCCTCCATGGATTGTATAGAGAAGGTAAGTGCCATCAATACCTGCAGGCTAGCACACTCATTTCCTAACATACTATGTGCTGCTGGGAACAATCTTCTCTGTCATTATATTCTGTCCCAGCCAGCTAAATACTAGAAACATTATGAACAAACAGTTGAAGGAGAGTCTGCAGGAGCCAGAGCATTGCACCATCAATCTACTGATCGCGGCTGCAATGCTTTACTGACTCCAATGTAAAAAAATAATAAATGCATATATAAGAACATGCCAACAGTGAATCTACATCAATTGTAACAGTAAAATAACAAATACAAGGAAGCAAAGTAAGAGCCACAGTGATTTGCATGAGAGCACATGCAACACAACTGTAAACCATACTACATAGCAGTGGTGAAGGTAGACCGTATATCAGCGTAATGCTCTACACAGAGGGTAGGCAAACTCCAGCCTTGCAGCTGTAATGAAACTACAAATCTGCCTCTCGGGGTCATGCCTGTGGCAGTCAGAGTCTTGCAATGCCTCTTGGGATTTGTAGTTGCACCACAGCTGGAAGGCCGCAGTTTGCTTACCCCTTGTTTACAACAATCAGGGATCTACTTTCCTAACCTTGTTAGGTGATGAGAGGACAGCAGTGATCTTTTAGTATGCTGCTGACACTCTACGGTCTGATCGGCAGGCCGGCACTGTGTTTTCAGCCAAGCTGTGATGCCCTTCCATCGAAGGTCAAGAAACTGATTATTGGGCAGGGTTTATGGATCATAGGATCCGTTGCATATTTAAAGAAGAACTATGAGGTGAGTGCTTTTCACTCACCTCATAGTTCTAGCCAACCTGTGACAATGAGACTGTCACAGGTCGGCTCAGTAGATCGGGAGGTGTCTGCCGTGACAGGGGAGGGGCTTGATTCCCCTCTCCCCGCTCCGATCCGCCAGTGCTGACTGGCGGAACGGACGGGGGAGGGGGCGGGTACAGCTGGCTCTGCCTCTAGATAGGCAGAGCCAGCTGTCACTCACACAGCTGGGCGGACCCAGACAAGCTGTAGCTCGCGGTATACTGAGCTTAGGGTAACTGGAGGACGCTAGTTTGTGTCCTCCCGTTACCCTAAGGAGAACTATGGGGAAAAGCCCTGACCCCATAGTTCTCCTTTAACCCTTTGCCTGGAGTTTAGCTTGAACACCGAAACTCTCTATTGCCATGGTTAGGATTATAATGATTCCAGTTTGATGCAAACAGTCATTCAGCTCCCCAGTTCATTAAAACACAAAACTATTTCATAATCTAATCCCTATCCAGGTACAGTGGAAACATTCATATATCAGGGAAGTGAGGATTAACTGGTAGAGAAGGCAAGGTTCAACAAAAGCTTCCAAAGTGATAAATCAAAGTCACTGCCCATCTTCCCATATAGCACACCAAGCAGAATGAAAGGTGCCCCAAAGGGGAGACTTACTGTGCAATGCCCCTCAGGTTGGACAGCAGGTAGTCACTGATGATGGGTATGAGCTGCTTAGCTGTGTCATCCAGAAGATCACACTCCAGCACATAGAGGATGCCGTGCAGAGCGCCAATGCGGCTGGGCATGTGAGTACTACGCAGGGTGCTCTCCAAGAGCCGGCTGACAGGCTCTGCAACTGCTTTATCCTGACAAAAGACAGGCAGATGTGTTAACCAATACACACTCCACTACAACACAAAAGGGTGTATTTATAAAGCTGGGAATCTGACATTCACCAAATAATTTACTGCAGGTGAATCCTCCTGATGCATGTGTTTTCAGATGACAGTGATTGATTCGCTACTAGTGAAAATCTGGTGAAAGTCACATTCACTGCTCTTAATAAAATGCACATAAAACATGCCAACTGTGATTAGAAATCTTTGGTAACAGTAAGGGTTTGCTAAACGGAGTTGCTCTTTAATTCTCAGTTTGGTCTGAAGCAAACCTTTTAATCAGAACTAATCTCTTTGTCGCACTAACCTGTCTGCCACAAACCCATCGTCCAATGGTCTAAAACAATACGATACAATTGAGGGGGGGATTTAAGATGCCCATACACTGCTCGATTCTCGTACGAGAATCGGGCGAAATCCCGCGATCGCACTAGAATCGAGCAGTGTGAACTAAGACGTGCGACCGTTTCTACTATACAGTCGCACGTCTTTTGTCGAGCCAACATGCTTGAAAACCAGCCGAGAATCATACGATTCTCGGCGGGTTTCTAGCCTGCTAGCCCGATAGCTGCGGAACGGGCCGGTGTGCCCTTTACAGAGAAAATCTGGAGCAGCTGTGCATAGTAACCAATCGGCTTCTATCTTCAGTTGTTCAGTTTAACTTTCAAAATAAAAGCTAGAAGTGGATTGGTTGCCATCCTCAGCTGCTCCAGTCTTAGTAAATTCCCCCCAATGTATATTATTTATCTCTCAATGGTTCAGGGACCCTCCAGCGGCAGGCACCTAAACACTACTGCAGCAGGCAGGTCGCATGGCCGATGTGAAAGGATGATGAACAGGCACAGCAAGCCCATCAGTAGCTCTTAAGTAGATGCCGCCGCGTTGACAGAGAAAACACATATTCTCAATCAACCGAGTTTTAGTGTAGCTAGTGAAATGTCCAGTATTACATGTAGTGTATTTCTGGGCAGTGGGCTCAGATTCGCTCAGGTCGAACTCATTCTCATTCTCAGGGTAATACATACAGCAATGCATGTTGTCATGTGCGGTGCAGAGCAGTAAACCCATTCAAATAACTGATATCATGAAAGGCAATGCACCAAAAATGATTCATGTAGGAATATGTTGTAATGCAGTACGATAGCAGGAACAGGTGCTGCAAAACAATCTACTTCAATCTGTTCATACAGTTTACATGTTTGCAAGAATAATGGTGCATGGAGTCCTTAACCCTTTCGCTGCCAAGCCCTCCGGAACATTTTTCAAATCAGCTTGCCCGGTATTTTTAAAATTAGCGGTCATCAGCGGCTTGTGAGCCGCTGATGACAGCTATTAATTTAAAGGGGACAGTCTGCTGAACAGTTCTACTATAAGCTGATGGTCGCTAAAGCGACCATCAGCTTATAGTAGAACTGTAAATGCCAGGTCCGTACGACGTACTGAGCTGGCCAGCTGGAAGCACTTTTGTAGCTCCGTACGACTTACGTCCTTAGCAGCGAAAGGGTTAAAGCCCAACCCCGGCTTATTTTATTTTGAATAATTTCCCTCTTATTGCCATGTTTCATTTGTCTACATGCACTACTTACCCCCGCCATTCTGTTCTCAGCATCCTCATTGGTCACTGCTCCATGTCCTAGTTGACTAATACTTAAGGCAAGGTGAGCAACTCTGGCCCTCCAGCTGTTGTGTAAACTACAAGTCCCATGAGTCATTGTAAGACTGACAGCTACAGGCATGACTCCCAGAGGCAGAAGCATGTTGGGATATGTAGATAAAGCACAGCTGGAGGGCCAGAGTTGCCCACCCATGGCTTAATGTCATTCAAACCCTTCCTATTAGCCCAGCGTGTCATGGACATACCCCCGACCGTAACGTCATCATGCATTGGGGCTGCCGCCACACTGCAAGGGGTAACTGCTCATTTATGTCTAGGGGTATGGTGTAAAGCACTTTTAATTAACTGATCCCCACTCTGCCAGTGGGCAGCTCTCTCCCCTCCGGCTTGTGGACGGTCCCTTAGCTTCCACATGTATAACGCAGGTCAATGGTTTGGGCTTGGAGAGAAAAAAAAAACACATCTGTAATGTACATCGCAGCTAAGGGGTTACCTTCCAATAATGCTGCTGACAAAAGAGGACAACGTGGGCCAATCAGTTCTGCCCAATGATCAGCCAATCTATCCCATCCCCAGAATGATGTACGTCTCTACAACGAGTAGCACATCACTTAACAGTGCATGAGGCAGAGGGTGCTTACCATTCCCAGCACGGCAGCTGCCTTACAGATTGCAGGCACTAGATACTGAATAAGAATTTCATCCTCGGATGGGTGCTGTTTCTGGAGCTCGGTTAGTGCCGTGTACATCATCTCAAACTGGTTCCTCTCCGTGAATAAATCAGACACCGCCAGAAGCTGCAGAGAGACAAGCACAGCATAACAGCACAGCTACAACACTGCCGCTTTCCCCAACTAGAAAGAACACGTGCAGTGAATAAATAACATTGTGGGGTGTTTATATATGAATATACAATCCAGCACCAGAGACAACATGTACAAGTCCCGGGACTCTCATTACAAGTACATGCTGGAGCCATGTGAAAAGAGGATACATAGATGGAAAGTGTGTGGGGGCCTATATGGGTAGTCAATATAAGGAAATGACAGAGCTACATTAATTTGTGCTTTTCATACGAGTCTCCAATTGAGTTGTAAGTGATGCACTATACATGGTACATTTCGTGATATTAAAATCAAAAGGTTTTTAAGCTATTTTATAATGCGGATTAAATCACTTACAATGGATGCCACTTCTTGATGATTAAAAAGTTTTAGCTTCCTGCAGAATCAGCTGGTCAATTGAGCTCTGGCCCTGATATCCTGTTTTAGGGTGGCCCCTTTCCCTTGCAGTGTCCTATGGAGCCACCCTTGCATGTGCTAGTAAGCTGTGTTTTCACAAACACAGAAAGGCAATCCACTCCCTTCCTCTCTGCCTTCTCCCACTAGTAGATGGATAACCAGTGGAGACACAAGGGTGTGCGGCCCGTACCCGGGTACCACCATTGGTGGGCTAACACCAAAATGACTGACAGTCATTTTGGTGTCACCCCTATGAAAAGTCGGGCACTTGGTCACGGACCGAGAGCCCGACACTGTCAGGAGAGAGGAGGGGACCCGGCAGCATTCCTTATCCTGCCAGGATGAACGTCCCCTCCTCTCTCTGCCGGCGTCTATCAGCAAGATGGCATTGTTGGATTTGGCTTCATTTAAAAAAAAAAAAAGTTTAATACTATAATAAAGAATTCCTTGCAAAACTTTTATTAACCCCTGTAGCGGGGCTACCCCCACACTGCAAGGGTTAACTGCTCATTTTTGTCTAGTGTTAAAAAAAAACAAATTTAAAAAAAAAAAAAAAAGTTGTACTACCTGAACAATGGAGCCGGCTTGCTCTTGGACCGGTTCTTTTAGCTTCTCTTCCTCTCTCCTGCTGCAGTCTAAGGTCCCATAAATCATCACATTCTATACATAGTGTATAAACATGAGGACGCTGAGGAAAATCCCAATTCTGCAGCGTGTGGGAGAAAGGCTTCAAAGACCAGAGAAGCAGGGAGCCAGATCAGTAGTTCAGGTGAGTATAACTTTTTTTTTTAGCACCTAGACAAAAGCCAGCACTTGACGCTTGCAGTGCAGGGGTAGTACCTCTTCAATGTTCTGCAGTAGACTTCCAATATTTTGGATAAGGTTGTCTGTATTTCAGTGGGAGGACATGCTGCTATAAAGTGAATCTGTGCAGAGCAAAGCAACAAACCCACTTTATTGCAGACCTCCCAAGACACATATACTGATCCATTTGTTCCTCCATTCTGCCACCCCGAGTGAAAGGAAAGCCGTCAGTGAGTTGTAACTTGCACAGGGCTATAGGCTCCACTATGACAATACTGATTGGTCCAGCAATGTCACATGGGTGTCAAATACTCTGCAAAAACCTGGGAAGTTGCCAGTATTTTTTCGGCGCCCGATGCTGAACAGAGCGTCATGGGGTGGGAGGAAAGATATCTATGTACTGCTGGGGGTGAAAGAGTTAAAGCATTCGCCCTGAACTGACAAAGCCCAGTTTGCTTTAAGTCTTCAGTGAAGAAATACAGGCCGTTACTAAGATGTATAGATTGGTGTGACAAAAGGTTTAATAATTCTGCACTTCATTCAATAAGCATCCTACTAAGATCAAATGATTCAATAACTGCGAGCTGAAGGCAGACAAGTGATGAGTCACCATGAGAAGCGTTCCTATCAATTTACACTCCACTCTATAGACTTAGAAGAGCCGGCAAACCCGCAGCAGACTCATTATTCTTCCATGCATCACTAGAAGAGCTCATAAAATGCAGAGGAGCACTAGATTATCTGAGCTGAGCTCATGAGCCTCTGAATAGTGTTAAAAGAAACATGCAGAGGGAAATATGGAGGTTACAACTGCTGAGCTCGGTTAGAAGAAATTCTAAAGAAGACCTCAAATTTAATTAAAATGTTGACTACTATGGAGAGACGGGCAGCTAAAAGAATGACCTGAATTGTTTGTGGTCCCACGGGATGTATTTCTGGACCATGTGGCTAAATCTAGAATGTCTGTAGGTATTAAAGAACTCCCCATTTCTATAGAGTGGACAGGAGGCAGGCTGGGTGACCACAGGTCCCATAGGTCATCTCACATAGGCCAGAGCCCAGGAGATCAGGGCTGTAGATGAGACCTGTTTACCATATCAAGTCATCCCACCGACCATGCGTTTTATTTTAACTGCGCTGCTGGTCTTCTTTAAAAGGCATTGTATAGTGTTTTTGCATATATTTTCTTTATTTTATATTCTCTTATTTATAATAGAATAAAATATTGCAAATGGAAAAAATATTTAGCCATCAGATGCTAGCACAAAAGGAGTTGCATGCGGATAAGGCAATACACTGAATACAAACATTCGCTCACTCAACATTGACACAAACTGTAAAGGAGCTCGTCTTGTATATTTGTGGGTTTTGGTCCTAAAGACAATAAAGAATATGCTGATTCACTGACAAAGCCAGGGGGAAAGGCTAGCATGTAATTCTGCTAACTAGCTGGACTAAGCAAATTTTGGTATAAGGGGCCTAGCCTGCATCTTTCGCAGTTCTGGTAGCTTAGATTTCTCCAATAATAAAAGTGGATTACTTGTGAGAAAACTTGGAATCCAGTGTGAGCCCAGGTAATAGACCTGGGTGAGTCTAGTTTCTACCTCGCGTATTGCAGTATAGGAGATCAAGAGAAGATGAGTGGGATGATCATTTGGTAAATGTCCTCTCTGAACACACTAAGGTAAGTGAAAGCGTGCAACAACTTATCAAACCCAAAAGAATACACTTACCGATCTCACAACCTCACTGACCAAGATGACTGGAGTCTTCTTCCCAGTGTTAGCGGGGAGAATCCACTGGCTGTACAGCTCTAGGAGAAACTGTGAACAGGAATGTATGTCCACTCCAGCCCGATGTTTCCTGTACAGAAAAGTAAAACATGTCTGTGCTGCTTATAGCAAACAATAAGATTACTATTTCCATTAGCCTGGGCACATTAGATCAGTGAAGCAAATAACACTTTACGAATGGTACATGAACACTGTGTTATCCAACCCCTGTGCAAACGGATTAATTCAGTGACATGGTACATTGGGTCCTATGGACCCCATAACAATAAAAATACACAGAGACAAGTATGCAGTGCCCTGCCGCCCCCCCAATTCTACAGACTGCTCATCGCTCTTCAGCAATGACCTGAAGGTCAGCAATGTGTGAAAGACCTGATGTGAATGTGCAACTATGTAAAGTGCTGCGTCCTTGTCGGCACTATATAAATACCTGTAATAAATAAAGACCTAATGGGGAATCTGAATTTTATTTACAAGCAGATGATGCAGGGGGTTATAGTGAAGGTACCCTACCCCCTGTGATGTAAGATAGCCCCTAAAAATGAGGTATAATAGATACCCAACAGAACTATTACAAACACAAGGAGAAATCCCAAATCACAATCACTTGTGCTGAAGCAATAGTTTTAGGCAATAGCTCTATAGGTTGAACTCGATGGACTTGTGTCTTTTTACAACCTGACTACGTAGGCAAGCAGGACCTGATGAAGAGTCTTGCCCTTCACCATTTTATACAAAGTTTGATTGGAGTTGGACTTTACGAATACAGGTATGCTCGAGGGCAGGAGTGAGTAAACTCCAGCCCCCAAGCTTTGGTAAAACTACAAATTTCATCATGAATCTGCCTCGGGAAGTCATGCCTGTGGCTGTCGGTCTTGCCTCATGGGATTTGTAGTTACACCACAGCCAGAGGGGCTAGAGTTTTCCTTCTCCTGCTCTAGGGGGGTAGTGCTGGGGTGGGGGAACAGTCATTGGCTCACTTTAGGGATTGCTGACCCTCCGAAAATGGCTTAGCTATCACTGAATTTTATACTGCCTGGATCACTGACCTGAAACAAGAATGCAGATCAGGAAAAATAAGAATGACAGTGAAAATTCTAAAACTCCATACTTGTTCTGGATCATAGACTCAAAAGTACTGAAGCTATGACAGGCAGAGAAATTGCATTCTCAGAATGGGAGGTGAGCAACAGGAGCTACCATACTTCAGTACAGGTTCCCTGAAGTGTTAAGTGCTGGGGGGATGAAGAGGTAAAGGCTAATTTTGGGGGGTTAGGTTAAAGGATTGGGTATTTATAGGGCTTTTAGTGTTATGAACTTGCTGACTTAATTTTCAGCACAGAAAGCCCATGGGGAAAACTAGAATACTGTTCTAAAAACAATTTACCACTTTTTGTAAATAAAGAGGAAACTGCACTCATTCCCACTGTTGACATTAGACCCCATTCTGGGCCCCTGTATACCACGTAAAGCCAGTTTCAGCAAAGGCTAAACCTCATTGTCACAGAAATAATGTAATTTATTGTAAACCATTCATCTACAATGTTACACAGACAAGCCAAGGACAGACCTGGAGTTAATTGGAGACAATGGAGGTGATGATGGAGCTGGAGCATCAGTCTCATCCTCTTCATCTTCATCTAGCTCCTCTGGTCTCAGCGGAGTAATGTTGTTCCCAAGCCAAACCGAGTGGATGGAGACCTAATGTAGAAATGCACCTTTGCTTATTTTGCTGTGTTTAGTGTTAGAGGTAAAAAACAGAATAAGCCTGAAGAATGTTTAAACACAAGAGTGGACAAATAAAAGTCATATTCAGGTCTAGTGTGCCTAGTCCTCAAACCGCTAGGCTCTTCCATGATTCCTAGATACATGTTTGTCACTACGGTCGAAGTCAAACGTCATATTGATCCCAAAAACTATTCGAAAATCCCCCCAATTTTTTTTTTTTTTAGAACTCCGTTCTAACCTTGTATACCCAGCTTTCCAAACAACACCATCTTATACACTAATTTAATCACTCGAATCCAGTACGAGCTGTGATTTATCTCTTATATCATCAGCCTACTACATCAAGACTGGTGAAGGAAGACTTCACCCACATGTCTATGGATACAAGCGTTTTCCTCTGTGTCCAACATATGGGTTTTATTTTCCCCTTGAAAGAGCCTGGGTTACCTGTGAAATGCTAAGCAGTATTCCGCTATTCACTCGCTGCCGTTTGGCTCCTATGAGAATAGGGGCAAACGACAACAAGTGAACTGCTGGAGCTTTGGCTCAGCTGAGCCAGATGTTGGATCAGCTGAGGCGAACGCGTTCTGCTGAGCATGTACGGCTGAACCCAGCTGTACAGGGCTGAAGTGAATAGCCGAATGGCGTTTGGCTCACTTCGGCTCGGTTATTCACTTGGCTGCCTTTGGCAGTTTAGTGAATAATCGCCTAAACAATGCATAAAAATGGATCACAAAAGCAGTCTATTGACTTCAAGTGAATGGTGCTATAAATATTAGACATGCTGAGGCCCCATTCACACAGCACTTTAGGCTGCAGCTTCCTGTGACAAGAACCTACTGATCAGTGCAGCAAGAATCCTAGATGTGGCTGCTGTGCCTATTAACGCCAATGACAGGCTGACCGTAGCTGTCCGCATGTAATCGTTCATGGAATGGATTACCACGGTTTTGCATAGATAGTTGTTTTGTGGATGCAGATAGACTGCGTCCAGGGACAATTGTCTATCCAAAAAGGCAAGTACGTATTTCATGAATGATTACATACGGACTGTAGATGCGGCCACTGTCAGCTTGTCATTAACTTGAATGGGCACAGTGGCCGCATCTGTACCTTGATTCCAGCCACAAGAATCTATAGGTTCTTGCTGCAGAAATTCCCAGCCACCCTATGTAAATGTAGCTTAAAGAGTTCCAAGGACTTAATGGAGGTTTAAAATATTCTCTGTCTTCTAAATCCTTGAGAGGTTTTACATATTTTTATAGCATTTTAAATAGATGTAAATATTTTTTTTTTACAATACTGAGAAATCAGTTCTTCTTTAATTACATTAAGTAATAAGGCAGATCGTGATGTAGCAACCATAATGGTAGGAAGAGTTTACATTTCAGTTCCTATACGATAGGTTTGTAACTCTTCATACATTTGAAAAAGTACTTCACAGCAAGAAACATGACAGCGCTGACCCCCTTCAGCTGTTTATTAAAGTAGAAATGCAGCATGGATTGTGGCAATTCATTTTCTTTTTCTGACCGATTAGCCGCAGAGCAACAAGTTGGACAGCCTCCTGGAAATTATACAGTGGAGAGCCACACAACGCTCACTCAGCACTTAGGAACCAATAACATAAGAGGTTATTTTTTTTCGAAGCACTGATGATTTGGTTATAGGTGAGCCCTGGTTGAAAGCTTGCCATGATTGCTACTGTCCGCCTGACCACTCAGTACCAGCCTCCTACTCCTGACACCATTTGAAATAAATGTCTAACAGAGTCCAGGCTACATGTTTATGGGGTGTGCTGCAGTTCACAGGACATTCTGTTGGCTGGACGGCACCCACATAGAGTGCTGTCTAGAGCCCATAGCCCACTTTACCCACCTGGCCAAGCTTATAGCTCATGTTTCCAATTTCTCGCTCTGTGTTGATCTGCAGTAGCAGCTTCTCATGACTGATCAGTGCTCCTGAAAACAGTTACAGAGATGAGAGAGATACGAGATAAAATAGATGAACCTACCATTACCATGAGACATCAAATAATAACCAACCTTTTCCTTTTCAGAGAATAATCATGTGTAATAAAAGAAAGAAGACAGGCTGGTCAGAGTGTTTCTAGATAATATCTAAAGAGATTGTGTCACTGTGAGCCGAGATGAGTCACAGGAGAGCATATAATGGGCTACAACTCCTCCTCCATCTCCTCTAGAGTCTAAAAGGTCACTAGAGCAGGATGCTAACCAAAGCTTCTTTAGTGAAAATTATGGTGTTTCATGTACTGGGCAGCGCGGGTAAAAGGAATAGCGATAAAAATCAGAGAAATGCTACAAAACTATGAAATATTAAAAAAAGTATAGCAGCTTTTCCTTTTCATAGGTTCACTTAAAGAGAACCCATAGAGATCAATTATCACAAAATGTTTAACATTTGACTCTGTGTCATGCATTTTTACGTACTCTGCAATAAAGTTTTGAAAAAGTACTTGCTTCCATGGATATTTAGACATTTCAACATGCATGTGCCAGAGCCTACAAGAGTAATGTCAGCAGGACCACTGAAGGCGCAAGGGGAGGAAGTGAACTGGTGTCTTTGTATTCATTTTGGAAGCACGTCTCCATGGGCTGCAGCCAGTAAGATGAGCAGGCATCTCTATGGGCCGATGTGTAAAGTGTTGGCCCTGGTCCCGCAGCAGTTAGGGTAGTGACCTAATGCGTACATCCTGCAAGCAGCGTGTATTAGCTAAGGCTTCACTGGGCGCTTTACACTCAGTTCAGACAGGTCCGCATGCACAGATGTCTGGCTAATTTACTAGCTGTAAAAGGTCCTTCCTTCTAGCCAACAGCCAGGGATGGATCCAGACATAATATGGCTCTGATGGGGTGAGTCATGGCAGAGTAAGTATTTCCATTTTTATATTAAACCACAGTACACTAACTGGGCAAAAGGTATATAAAAATGCTCCCCCTGTGGCTCCAATACAACCATATATACCCATCACTTTTGTAGGCTTTAATAGATGCACATGGAGACGACTATGAAAACAAATTTGTGTTAGAGGTTCTTGAAGGACATCAGGATTTTTAGGCCTTCTGCGTTTTTGTTTTAGATTTCCCTAGAAGATGAGAAAGAAAAAAGTGGAGTGCATGGAAGTAGAATGCTATTTCCTCCCAATTAAGAGGTGTACTTTGCATTCCCCATTCCTGGAAATCTTCTTTATGTTCTTCTGTGGAATGAAATGTGTGAAATTATCATAGGCAAATACAAATGCGCCCAGGTGTAACCCATGTGCATCATTGCATGTAGCTGTAGAGGAGAGGTACCTGTGGTTGCAGCAGATAAGCAAGGCACTGGAGCCCAAGCTTGATAGGCATGATGGGTGGCAATGTTGTCTCTTCTAGATACCAACGCCTGGATTTCTTCCTCCACTATCCCTCGAACAACACTCAGCTTCCTGCCAAACCTAGAGGCACCAACATAATAATGTATGTGCTGTGGTAAGCAAAGAGATTCTATACAAGCAGCCCTGACCATGTGAATCTCTACCCTGCCAACAAGACTGTTGCAAAAATAAGGGAAGAACCTTGTTGCAGGCTGCTCCCTTTAGGACAGTGTTTCTCAGCCATTGGATTGCAGCCTCCCACCTGCTGGGCCACAGCTTGACAGCTACTTGCAGAGTCAGCGCTTATTGTTTAAATGTGTGCCTGCCTGGTAGGTATTGTTGGAGTGCTTTCCCTCTTAACAGGCCACATTTTGACAGCTCCCGCTGTCATAGCCTGTTGCTTATTGCTTACATGTGTGACACGTGCGTCAACAGGCTGACGGCTAATGCTGTCACAGTCTCTGCAGAGCCAATGCTTATTGTTAACATGCGAGACACTAACCTCACAGTACCTAGCTATGCTACAGATCAGGACACTGTTTGGGAGAAGCTGTAGCACCAATTGAGTATAACTCCTTCCTTCTCTCAGCGGCAGCCTGCACTGAAGCATGAGTTGCTTGCATTTTAAAACAAAATTGAAACAGAAGTTGCTCGCATCTTAAAAACAGCAACATGCAAGCTGTAAATTGTGCATTACAAGATGCTAAGAGTTTAAATTCTTGATGATAGTGTGGGGATTGGAAAGGTATTGAAAGGGGGGTTGCTGCAACTACCTCCCTAGAGAAGCACGAGTATGGAATGCATGACCTTTCTGCCTTTGTCTCAAAGCTACTGGTTGTCAAAAAATAAGCTTTAAATTGACTTAAATCATTATTTTCATTGTGTCTATTTATATTACAGTAACTCAAAGTTTCAACTAATAACTCCCTTTTTAATACATTTAAAATACATATTTTGCATTCCGTGCTTTTATTGTATGAGTATTAGCATATCAAAAACTGTCACTTTAAAGCAGACCTTTACACTCAAAATCATATTCTACCAATGCATCCTTCTATGTATGATGATTAATAATAAACAGACATGTCAGGTGTAAAATGCTGCAATTGTGAAATACTTGCACTTGCAGAGCATTCACATCCTGCTATGAAAGGACAAAATGACTTCAGTTTGCCCAAGCAATGCATCCTGGGAAGGTTACATCAGCAGAGCATTGCAGGGAAATCTAATCTCAATGAAATGCATTTTCCTCCCCTGAGATGATGTGCATGGTCACATGTCCTGGTCACGTCTAGTCATATGTGCCAGATTTTCAGGAAGTAAAAGAGAAAGCTAGTAATTTGCCCTTAGTAAAAATGGCCGCTGTGAGAGGACTGGGGAAGAAAAGAGAAATAAGGTATACAAAGAATACAAAGCCGGCAATGATCTAGAAGTATGTGTTTGTAGATTGTCATTACTAAACACTTCTAAAGGTCTGTTTGTTGTTATTTTAAAGATATGGGTAAAGGTCCGATGTAAAAAATTCAAATGGCAGAAAATGTTAAAATTTTTAAGTGTTCTAGAGAGACATATAGGAGAACCTCTTGATAAACCTTCACCATTTCATCCAAAGATAAATACAGTCCTCATCACGTTATACAAAGATGGAACAAAAGGTGTGTACCTGGTGTCCAGGGCTTTTAGGGTCTTGTTCCGTGGCTGCTGTTCCAGGCAGCTGATGGCTGGGTTGCCGGCAGAAGGAATAGTCATAGCACTGAGGACCAGAGAAGTGATGGCTTGTACAGCGAGGACATTTATTTGCGTTCGCTCTGTGTCTTCCTAAAGGCAATAACAAAATACATGTTACATATTAAGAGGGAGAAATCAGTTTAGAAAGACTAATTTTCCACTAATTTTTCTTTTCACTCACCTCATAGTTCTAGCCAACCTGTGACAATGAGTCTATCACAGTTAGGCTCAGTCGATCGGGAAGTGAGCGAACACATACCGGCGTTCGCTCACCACTCTATCCCGTCACGGCTCTCTGCCGTGACAGGGGAGGAGCTGGATTCCCCCCTCCCCCAGCGCTGACTGGTGGATCGGATGGGGAGGGGGCGGGTACAGCTGGCTCTGCCTCTAGATAGGCAGAGCCAGCTGTCACTCACGCAGCTGGGCGAAACGAAATTCGGACGAAATTTCGGATGTATCCGAATTCTGAATTACAGCTAAAACGAATGCAAGCTAATCTGAATTCCTGAAATTCGTTAGCGGTAGTCCGGTCGACTACATTGACATTAGGAAAAAAATTATATTTTGTTTTGTTTGCAGATGGAAAAAAAAAAGCGTGAGGTTCCCCCCCAATTCATACAAGACCCTTTAGGTCTGGTAGGATTTTTAAAGGGGAAGCCCAGCCCCCAAAAATGGGGGGGAAAACGTGGGGTTCCCCCCTAGACTTTTGATAAAATCCTTTAATTGATTAAAAAAACAGTCAATTTTTGACTCTTCCTTTAATAAAAAAAATGGCTCTATCGATGTAATCCAGTGTCAATCACGATGCACGACCCGCCGAAATAAAAAAAAAGTCCCGCCGCACGACCACCATCCGATCCCGGCGAAAACTCGCCGCAAAATGACATTCAGCCCGAAAGTAAACAGATGATATCACGGCTCGCCCCGCCCATTTGACATTCTCAGCTGTCAAATGCCACACAGCATTCGGGAACTCCCGAATACTACTCATTAGTTTCCAAATGCTATTCAGGTCTGTGAGCCGAGTATTCCTACCAGACCTAAAGGGTATGGTATGAATTGGGGGGAACCTCACTTTTTTTTTTCCATCTTCTGCAAACTAAAAAAAATGTAAAAAAATTATTTTCCTAATGTCATTTTGCTGCAACGAAATTTCGTCCAAAAACAAAATTTCAACCGGACTACCGCTAACGAATTTCGTCCGAATCCCGAAACTAATTTAATTTCGGACCCGAATCCAAAAAATGAAGTAATGCAAAATCCGAATCAAAACGAAACAAAACAAATTTTTGCTGGTGCACATGTCTATTAATTATCATCACATCATCTCAACCCATAGGAAAATGTGTTGAGGTACCTCTACATATGTAGGAGATCTAGTATGGGATAGCACCATGAGTGCTGGTTAATCTATAGGTTGTATTTAATAAGGGAAGAAAAGAAAATCCTTGCTGACCGGTTGCTGAAAAGTACTAATTATTGCTTGAAGTAACATCTACAGCTCCAAAGTGCCACAATCAATTGCTAAATCACTTCTAATAATATCCATAAGTGACAGAGCACATGGTCAGCTTTACAAAGGGACCTGAGCTACACATATAGCAAAGCTGTACAGATCTACCTCTTGCTGACTTTCTTCTTGGTCCATTACAATAGGCTGAGTCACCAGAACTCCAAGCAGTGTGGCCCAAGTCTCCTCAAACTGGGTGCGACTTGTCCATCCTAAAAAGGCAAAAGGGTCTGATCAGAGGTGAAGAGAAGGACATATACAGTCACACTGAACAACAATAAGGAAAAAAAACACCAGGGGCGGCGTTATACATAGTAATAGGGTAAGGCACAACAATAAACTCAACAACTTTGTAAACAGTTTTCACATCACATCTTGTTTCCTTAAAAAGAATTCCTTGGTTTTTCAATACGTGGGTTTCAACAGACAGGCCATTAAAGGCAACGACCAAGAAGCAGGGTGGAAGACTGGGCCTTGAGATGACAGATCTGGCCAATTTGGAAGAAGCTAGGGATCGTCTGCCAACAGATAAACCAAATTGGCATTCCACACCCCTCAAAGCCAATCTGGAAAACTGTTTAAAACAATTATATGTTTTCCAAGAGCAGAGAACCTTGTAGAATCAGGAAAAATTCTAGTTGCAATTTATTTTGTTGCACGATACCTGCTCAAATGTTTATCACATGGAAATTTTTAAGCAAAAATACACAAAAATTAATTTTAGTGCACACACAAACAATTCATACCCATGTTTTGGCAAAATATCAAAGATAAGGTTGCATCGGCTAATCAGATACCAAACATGTCAAGCCTTCAACCTGCGCGCCCATGAAATGGCAAACAAGTATGGTACCCAAAATTGCCGATAGCCAACATTTTAAAAAGTCTTTACCACTTATCAGTTTAGACTTAGCAGTGAGTGATGGCCCTAGAATTACTGCGCTCACTCTGATGTTTGTGGTACAATTATCGTTTTTACAAGCAAGTGCAGCCAACACGCTTGTGCGTGTACATACATGTATGTGGGGGTGGAGGGCTTTTCCGCCCTTTTTTTTATTCATTAGAAGTCACTAATTTTTTCAGACATTTTTATTTACACTTAACTTTACTGCTATCTCATAGAATGCTAATAAGGGAGCGTGGGTGCTGCACCCTTTCAGGATGTTTTAAAAGATCTCCTGTACCCCTTACCTTCTGTGTCCTCCTATCTGCTCTAACAAATGATCAAACTTGACAGAATTATTATTATTATTATACAGGATTTATATAGTGCCAACAGTTTGCGCAGCGCTTTACAATATAAGGAAGACATTACAATCACAATACAATTCAAGACAAGATGGTAAGGAGGGCCCTGCCCCTGAGGGCTTACAATCTAAAAGGGAAGGGCAAGTGATACATGAGGAGGTAGCTGTGCGGGGATGATTGTTTGAGAAAGTGATAGTTCAGTGGTTAGGTTGAGGTGGGATAGGTTTCCCTGAAGAGATGAGTCTTAAGGGATCGCCTAAAGGCAGTCAGTGTGGGAGATAGATGGACAGGTTGGGGTAGATGGACAGGTTGGGGTAGAGAGTTCCATAAGATGGGAGAGGCTCTACTGAAGTCCTGGAGGAGTTGACGAGGGAGCTGGAAAGCAGGAGGTCTTAGGAGGAGTGTAGGGGACGGTTAGGGTGATACTTTGAGATATATCCGGGGGCAGAGTTGTGGATGGCTTTGCAAGTGGTTGCTAATATTTTGAATTTTATCCTTTGGGCCATTGCAGGGCTAGAGAATGGTTAGAGCTGGGCTTCGAATGAAAATGATTCCTCCATATCTCACTTCCTTACACCCTGCATTTCAACAGAATGTAAAGCTGTTCCAAGGATTTACAAACCATGCAACCTACCTAATGTATTGATGCGGTAGATAAATTCTTTGAATACTTCTTTCTCTTGTAGAAACTCAACAGGGATCTCAGGAAGTGAGGTTCCAAATTCTCCTCCGGTTTTGGGAGACCATCCCAATTTCCATACCTGCACAAACCAGACAGAAATTAGATTGGTATTGCCCTGTGCTGCTCAGGAATACATGCAAATGATTAGGAAACATTAGTCACTTCTCCCCCCAATGTAATCAGGAATTTTAGGTAACAAAGACGCATATTTATAGTTTAAGTTTATATCTATATAAACTATTAAAGTGACTTTTATTCAACATTCACTGGTGCATGCATGAGAAAGATTGCCCTGCAGTGAATGTTTGCAGAATGTCATATGAATTGCTTTATAAATACAACCCATAATGTTATTTTGTTGTAAGCACATATTCCCCTAAAAGCATTTTTACACTGGAAGCGATTCTGGCAACTGAACTTCTGCCAGATCGCTTCCAAGGGCCAGTAAAGAGTGTATTCCACCCCCACCTTGCTTCCCAGGTTCTGCTGCTACTCCTGCAGGCCTGTGACTGGCATTACTGGTGTTGGCAGATAGACGGGAGAGACCCCCGACGAACAGATGTTCGCCAATCTCCTCCCCACTGCATGGAGCCAGAAGTGATGATAACTGCATCACTTCCTGTTCCTCAGCTGTTATTACCCGGCTAGAGAAGCCAGGGAAGATGCTATTCAACGTTTTAAACAAGGTAAAATAAATAAATAAATAGAAAAAAATGTTTTAAAGTCCCCCGCCCCTGTGAATGTGTGCATAACAACGTAAACATGCGTTGGGTGCATCTACATATGAAAACGAAGATTGCGCTACACATTAGGTATCGCCGCATGCGCAAGAGAGAGAGAGCGCAATAATTCTAGGGCCAATATGGTTATCTCTAAAGTGATGACCTGTACAGGTTTTTAAAAGCATCGCCTATTGCATACGCTCGCTGGTTATCCAGGGGAGACTCCAAGGATCCAAGACATCCAGCCTGTCGCCCGGACAACACTTGCAAGAAGAATCCTCTGAAAAAAATCAGGAAGAAGCAGGTAAGAATACCGAGGAAAATTCTTAGCTCCTTACTCCTGACGCTAGGCAAAAAACTGGAGACTTCTCAGTAGGTGGGGGGTTTGGCCACCGGCAGGGGCCGCCCCTAGGCTGTAATTGGTCTTTAGTTTTTTTGTGCCTAGCGTCCTTCTCCTGCAGGTGGCGATATTACCCTACAGTACATGATCTCCGATCTGTTCCCTGTGTCCTTCAATGAACGGGAGAGAAAATTAGTGGTACTGTATTTTGTCGCTGTTTCACAGGTAAACGCAATTTTTCAGCTTGGCATGCTGGGTGTCTTGGGTTTGATAAAGAGTTGTGCTAATATCATGCGAGGTAAAAAGCTACAACTGCCGCCATTTTACTCTACAGGGTCTCTGCTTTCAGGAAATAAAATCACTTACCAGCGGTGGGACTCTGTTGTAGCTGTTGACTGCAGGCAATCTAGCCAGGCTTACAACTATGTTCTGTAACACCGGAGTGAGAAATGCGGCAATATGGCAGCTCTTCTTGTGTCCAAACAACAAAACTGTCTGCAGGGAGTCCACCATCTCTGACATCATGGTGCAGGCGGTCTTAAGAAATAATGCTCCTGAAAAACAAAACAAAAAACCCCCACAGTTTTACCTGGAAAATCCACAATAATCTGACACATGCTGCAGTTGTGGCAGCAATTCTTCTGAGGATGTATCCATCTACTTCAAAAGAAGCCACTGGCCCTGCAGGGAGATGTTTTACCTTGTATTGGGCTATTTAGGTAACCTCTTACAAATACTTTATTTCATTACAGGTATTTATATGGCGCCAACAATTTGCACAGCGCTTTACATACTGCACATTCACATCAGTCCCAGCCCTCAAGCAGCTCAATCTAAGGTCCCTATCTCACATATATACAGGGCCAACTTAGAGAGGAGCCAATTAACCTTCCAGCATATCTTTGGAGTGTGTGAGTAAACTATAGTACCTGGAGGAAACCCACACAAGCACAGGGAGCATATGCAGACACCTTGAATCACTTTCCCAGAATTCCCAGAATCACCCAATCTAAGACAACCTATTGTGAGAAGTTCCCTAAACAGCCCATTACTAAACTGAATATCTCCCTGCATGCATGTGAAACCTGCATACATATCCAAAGCCCCATCAGGGTACAAGTACGTAGATTCAAGGCAGGAGTACAAATACAGGGCACTATAAGCTGCAGATCATCATATGTGGTATACCTGATGATATGTGACAAGTGCCCTACAAGGCTCTATGTTGGAGAAACGGGTCAAACCCTTCGCCAAGGAACGAGCCCTCATAGGATTTACAATTCACAGCAAAACAGATTTCCCTGTAGTGGCCTATTTCAGCAGCAGAAGCAACAGCATCATCAAGCTCAAGGTTATGGTACGGATGGGGAGCTTTAAAATCACAGAACGAGGCTGGAATGGGAATGCCATACTAAGATTCAAAACTGTGGACTAAATAGAGACAGAAATTGTATGTGTCACTAGGATCTGAATAGAATTTCTAACCTCTGACAGGAAAGCCCGCTTCTCCTTAAAGCCATTGATCAAAGGTCTATGGACATTTCAAAAGAACTCTCATTCTCACAAAGGTGACAAGTGTGCCTGAACTTCTCATCTCCTTGTCAATTAGCCCAATAACACCCTTAAAGGGGTTGTAAACCCACATGGTCTTGTGTTCACATCTGTGTAGGTGATAAGAAGGAAGCACTAAATATTAAATTTTTTTTCCTAAATACGTCTTTTTTCTTTTTCAAAAGCTACATAGCCACCTCAGTCTTCTGGGCTTTGCATGATCTGGGCAATAGGTGGGACCAAGCCACAGCACACTCCTCCAGTCTGCCCTGCAATGTATGGCATTGTTGCATGCGTTGGAGGCAGCGTGGGTTGGTGCATTTCCAGGGCACACCTCCTTCCTCAGAATGCCCCGGGGTCCTGAGAAAGGGGGCATGACCCAGAAACGCATCAACCCACGCTGCCTCTGACACTAGCAATAGCTGACATGTCTGACGGCCCGGTACACACCAGGCAGAGCTTTCCATAGACTGAGTATCTTTGCATTGGACTTGAGAGTTGCGTCCTCCACCGTTCTTTGTGCAAGGATTACTAGCGATTTTAATACTGCTTTTGTGAGCCTATTCAGTTATTAAAATGTTATTTCACATTGGTTGGGCGCTCTGACACTCCTCATTACTACGTTTCCATTAGTGTATATACAGAGGGATGATTAGGCAAGTGGCCAGGGTAGCTCCTGAAGGTTTAGGCACCAAGGACTTACTCCATGTTTCCATCTTGCAATATAACGTTATATAATATATTTACAGCATCCAAACCCTGTGTACCTCGCACTCCAGAATGCCCCTCCTCTCCTGCTTGGTCTTCAGGCGAGGCGTTTTTCTTCCTCTCTGGGCTCAGAAGTTGCTCTCCAGGTTGAACAGCAACTAAAACACACACAGACAATATATGAAGACATGTGCCATTGTACATCCACTAAACTGCATAATTCTGAAAAAAAGAGCTAACATCACATGACCCCCCATCCCTGACAAGCCTAGCATGACATGAAGCAATCATATTTAACATGGAGCTGTACAGGGGTTGGGAATTAATGCAAGAAGGTTATCTCCCTGATTTTTGTGTTCACACAGAAAGGCTCCTCTTGGACTTGGAAGTCGCCATGCCTGGGCTCTCTCTGTGTTTTATAGATGAAGAAAAATAAAGGAACAGTGCTTAAACTCTATTTCCACTTTCGCAGCCAAATTGGGATAACACCTTTTTTTATATTTCTTTCATGTTCCCATTCACATAGCATAAGTTAAAAAAAAGAAATGCAGTTTAAATTGTTTTTGCTTGGGTTAGGGTTTTAAGGATTAACATTTTCTTCTTGCTTCTATTTCTTTGAAATGTTAGGAGGGGGGTGAGGGGTTTGGGATGGCTTGTCCATTGTATGATGCTTATCACATAAACACAATCCTCACATTTCAGTCCCAAGACTTTCTATAAGGACAGATCACTGTAAAGGGGGCTGAGAAAAACCTGGAATCAACCATCTTGCCCGAATTAACAAAACATTTAAAAAGGTACGTATTTTTTTAAAAGTTAATTTTCAGTATGCTGTATGAATAGGAACACATAACGAACATATAGAGGGGTTTTCTATCATTTGACTGCAAAAGTGGAAATACACTTTAAAATAAGGACTGCAAAAACACACATTCAGGTCAGCATGTACCATAGCTAACATATGGAGAAAAAAAAAAAGCCATTTACCAAGCAGCTATACTGATTTTTTGCTGATAAGTGAGAGATAACAGTCTGACCAATAAGATGTTTCTGCTGATCATCTATCAGGAATAAAGAAGACACTCATGTTCTTGCTGAGCTGCCCACCTTGCATAGCCGTAAACATTGAGAGCCCCAACAAAAGCCAGTGAGAACATGAAAACCTGTCCCAGAGTCCTGTCCTATGACGTCATTATTAAAGCCGATTTCCTACAGTGACTGGGATGCTGGGACTCTTTGGAACAAGAGTGTGCTCGGCCAGTGGATGCCCAATGTTTCCCTGGGCTTGATGACTGGATGCGGTTAGAGAGCAGTGTCTTCTACAGATTGGTGACAACATGAAAACCTGTGTTCTGCAGAACATGACACATTTATCATTTAATTATCAGGACTGGAAAGGATAAATCTGCAGGAAGGGCAGAAAATCCCTCATCAGTCTCCTCAAGCAGAAACATGCTATAACATCCGATTAACATCAGAGCATAACATACCAATGCACAGAGGAGGGAGTATAATTCATAAGACTGCAATTGGATTTTTAGATAAAAAAATGTTATATTCCTAGGTTTATGAATTAAACATGGCAACTGGATGTTCCCTGCCAACATTAGCTGGCCCGATTATCAAGCAATTATAGTTTACAAGAGCGGTCTGCTTCTTCTGAGACACTGTATGACTAACTAATGAATCTTCAGAACTAAGGAGACGGAGAAAGGAAGAGGGAGAGCAAGAGAGAGGGAGAGCGTAAGAGGAGAGGGAGCGAGCAAGAGGGAGAGTAAGGGGAGAGGGAGCGAGGAAGAGGGAGAGTAAGGGGAGAGGGAGCGAGGAAGAGGGAGAGTAAGGGGAGAGGGAGCGAGGAAGAGTAAGGGGAGAGGGAGCGAGGAAGAGTAAGGGGAGAGGGAGCGAGCGAGGAAGAGGGAGCGAGCGAGGAAGAGGGAGCGTAAGAGGAAAGGGAGCGAGGAAGAGTAAAGGGAGCGAGGAAGAGTAAAGGGAGCGAGGGAGAGTAAAGGGAGCGAGGGAGAGTAGAGGGAGCGAGGAAGAGTAAAGGGAGCGAGGGAGAGTAAAGGGAGCGAGGGAGAGTAAAGGGAGCGAGGGAGAGTAAAGGGAGCGAGGGAGAGTAAAGGGAGCGAGGGAGAGTAAAGGGAGCGAGGGAGAGTAAGGGGAGAGGGAGCGAGGAAGATTAAGAGGAGAGGGAGCGAGGAAGATTAAGAGGAGAGGGAGCGAGGAAGATTAAGAGGAGAGGGAGCGAGGAAGATTAAGAGGAGAGGGAGCGAGGAAGATAAGGAAGAGAGGGAGCGAGAGGAGAGACAGAGGGATAGGGAGAGAGAGGAGACAAAGGGAGGGGAAACAGAGGGGGAAAGGAAAGTGAGAAGAAGAATGATGAGAGAGTGTGTGAGAGTGAGAGAGAGAAAGAATAGACAAAATAGAGGAGGTAGAAAACCACTTACCAGCCTCTATAATAAAGCGGATGCAGGTGATAAGGGAGCAGCCGTGGGTCACATACTCTGCAGAAGCCAGCAAATTCCACAATCCTGGCTGTTGTAGAGTCAGACAACAACACTCCAGCACAGCTTGGAGATCCACTCCCAACGGTATCAGTTCTTGTACAAAATGCCAGGACAATGCCTAAAAAGAAAGACACTTTCAACTGCATGCCTATAAAGTTGTGAGTTGAAATAGAAGTACAAACTTTAAAAAAAAAGACTAACAAACATTAATAAAATGGCCAATTTTTCTCAAATTGTGGTCAGATTTTTACAACCAACATTACATTTGTGTTTTGTGTTGTTGTCTCTTCTCTTTACAGATTAGTACTTGTAGCTTACACAGACCCTTCTATATAAACAGCAGCTACATCCCCGAGTCATAACTGTTCGGTAACCTATATGCATACCAGACCCACTGGTGAGGCCACATATTTACTTTAACACTGCCACTTCAAGGAAGTACCTATGTACTGGATATAAAGATGAAGAGTTTGGTGTATTTTGGAAGTATCAGGTTTATGGCCTACTCCAGCTCTGTGTGTCCTCATGCTCCCTGTTTGTTCTAGCTGATCGGTCCACAGAAAATTTAGATGTGGCATACTTCACTTTCATTTAAACCATTGCTGCAAAACCAAACACTTTCATAACCCAACATTCTTATGATGAACAATATATAAAAACTAATCAGAAAGCCCAGCACTAGCTTTATGCCAGAAAGTGTTAAATCACTAGCAAAGATGCCGCCATCTTGACTTGTAGAGGGGGTTGGATCCTCCTCTGAATCATGTAGGTCTCTGTTTAGTACAATAGATAGATAGATAGATAGATAGATAGATAATCTCGCAGTCGCCCACTATATGCTGATTTGGATCACAGAAATATATTATTAAATGTGCTCCTGTGACCAAAAAGTAAAGTAAATCCCCAAAAAAGGTTTGCCTTTTAGTGCTCTTTTGAAGCTTTAGCTAAGAATAAACCTGCACACCAAATGTAGTTGTACCAAATGCTGGTCTGTTCTAAACTTCCTGCTTGGAATGATTAGATACATTTTCTCTTACCTCCACCGACATGACCACAAACTTCACCATGTCCACTTCATTTTCCTGCCGTATGTGAAAAGACTGAGGTATTTTGGGGAGAGACAGCAGGTACTGCGCCAGCGCACGACACAGGGTGACAAGGGAATAATATACTTCAGAGTCACCTGAATGAAAAATCAGGACACTGTTACTAAAAATGCACAGAAGGTGCAGAATACAAGTCACTGACCCCCTTATAGGAAGACAAACCAAAAGACTGTATTACACAATGCTGAATAGTACAAAATGCTAAATATAGCAAATGAGTGCAGATTATCTCTAATTCAGGACATTGCATGCTATGCATGTAGGCATACTTATTTAAGTGTATGTATTAGAGGTGCACCGAAATGGAATTTTCAGGCCGGAACTGAAATCTTTTTGTTCTGAACTTTAAAAAAAAAAAATTAAAATATTTTATTTTTTTACTTTACTATCAGGGGCTTTGAAGAAATATTTCCAGATACCCAGAGATCCCGGATATTTCCATTTTGAAACAAAGAATAAGGGCACAGAGTGCTCCTGCCCATTCATAAACTGTGGATGCAGTATGGAGTTACTATGTCCACAATTATGAATGAACAGGAAGTGATGTAGATAATTTCCTATTCATTCATAATTGGGGACACAGTAAACATACTGTGCTCAATTATTTACACATACACATGTCCTCAATTATTTACAAACACTCAGCGATCACTGCTCGCATGAGGGCTTGTAACCCATTCTCCATCCTGGCTCCCCTGTCACAGAAGACTGAGCTGGAGGTGCGGGGAGGAGAGGTCGGCCTCCTGTGACAGCTTTCTCCTCCCCGCACCACTCTCCATCCTGATTTGCTGCTCACAGGAGTGGGAGGAGAGCTCGGCCTCCTGTGACACCGATGACAGAGCTCTCCTCCCCGCTCGGCCTCCTAAAAGTTTCTCTCCTCACCGCTGGGCGCTGCTCTGCGTCAGCGGGGAGGAGGGAAACTAGAGATGCATCACATTTTTGGGCAAAAAAAAAAAATGTACTTTTGGCATTTTGCCGAAAGTACAATTTTCGGACGAAATATTTAATACGCAAAATTTCGATGCAGCCCTATTATGGATCGGTAAAATTTTCATTTTGGAAGACGAAAGGAAGGGTTAAACCCAGTCAATTTATTGATAGCTGCCTGTATAAGGTTGCAGAGTTTTCCCTTCACTTCCTGCTCTGTTGATGCAACAGGAAGTGAGGACATTTTCCCTAATGCAGTTGCCACCAGAACCTTTTGTTTCCGGTAACAATTCTAAAATTTTGCATTTCCTATCACTTTCTGTCTCTGTAAAAATGATCATCCGGACAAACGTAAACACTTTACAGAGGTTATAATCCTTAAACCCTCTATGTAGCAAGATTGGATTAAGTGCGTTTAGACAAGAGCTCTTACCCAATACTGTGATTATCTTCTCCCAGTAGGAGTCTTTCTCCATTGGCTTCAGAGGCTGAAAGATCTGATGAGTGTCTGGCAGCTGCTGAACGGTCTGCGAGATGAGATCCAGCAGGACAGACTGGGCTGTTTCAAAGAAGCTGCTGTCCTGATCGCCTATCATCTGGTTCACTCCCAGGGACAAACACGGGGCTAGCATGCTCATGTTAAACTCCTAAAGACAAAAACATCACTTCAGTTCTACTGATCACCAGATTCTGCATGCTGAAACTACTGTGCTGAAAGGAAATATCCAACAAAGCACAAATTACATTTCTCTGCCCTGGTACTACTATGTTGCTTGTGAGCCAATGAAAAGCATCTTACATCTGAGCATCCAAAACAAACATTTTATTTGCCTACGGATTGTTCTTATAGCCGACCTCCCTACTATGGTCAAATGTACAGCATTATCTGTGTCCACGCAGTGCAGCCAACAAGCTGCTTAGTCAAAAGTATCAGGTTCTATTGCACCATTTTATTGTGCTAATGTGCACCTTTCTGCAATGCCCAATAACACACAAAAGGAAGTGTGATGTTGTGTAGTTTAAATGAGACACCATGTACATTGTCAGTGCACAACGCTGCATGTATGCTGTAGATCACCACAACCCACAAGTATGAACCGTCTGTGTGTTGTGGTGCGTTGCCTTGAACCACATCTGCACGACAATCCCTTCAGCCTCAGACAACTTAGAGGGTAGTGCTGCTATTAAAGGTTGCTGTAAAAGTTATCAATTTTCTTCTGCAGTAGGGATGCACCGATAACATTTTTTCCAGACTGAGTACGGATACTTTTCCTGCAGATACCAATTACTGATACCTTTTTTTATGTATTTTTATGTATGTCGTGACAGTTTTTATAAAACAAAAGACTGTGGTGAAGTGCCAGGTTGTAGCTGCAAATGCTGCACCCCTGGTAGTTCTGCCCCCAACTCCTAGCTGTAGGGGACTACAAATCCCAGCAATACATTATACAGCAATGCAGAATGGCACCGGCTATAGAGGACTGCAAACCCCAGCAATACATTATACAGCAATGCAGAATGGCCCTGGCTATAGAGGACTGCAAACCCCAGCAATACATCATACAGCAATGCAGAATGACACTGGCTTTAGAGGACTGCAAACTCCAGCAATACATTATACAGCAATGCAGAATGACACTGGCTATAGAGGACTGCAAATCCCAGCAATACATTATACAGCAATGCAGAATGGCACCAGCTATAGAGGACTATAAATCCCAGCAATACAGAAAAAGATAAAGATACTAAAAACGACTGAATAGTCTCATCTTCATCAGAAAAGACTTGCCATCAGACAAATACTACAGCAATTTCAGAAATATTAGGCATTTCATCCCCAGAAACCAAAGGCGAAGGAGAAGTGCAAAATTTTTTACACTTAAGAACAGGACAACAAGTTTTTCCAAACGAGATAAAAAACATCAACGATAGAAGAAAATTCAGATTTAGTAAGGAAAAGTGAAGAATCACCTAACAAGGAAGAAGGTGCAGGATTAGAAACGGACAAAGTATTATCAGATTTGCCTTAGTAGAAATACAATTAGCACAATCCTTTCCAGAAGGAATCTCCGCTTTATACACCTTACAAATAATAAGCAAAGAGGAAAGCACCTCAGAAGTAAGGGCGCCTGGAAACAGACATAGCTGTGAAACACAGACAAAATGCAAATGCCATACTGTAAATCCCCTCAAAAACTACTCGTGACCCCGACCGGTGTGAAGGGAAAAAACCAATATGGTTGAGGCACCATATCCACCACTACAGACAGCAGGACAACTGAAGACATGGCTGAGTGACTGTGGCTAAATGGAGATCTTCATCTACCCCAAAAGCTGACTCCAAACTGAGGCCCAAGAATAACTGTGTGCAGATGAAGTGAAACCACCGCAGCCCGCTGACAGAAATGCAATATTCCGGCGCTGAAGATTCCAGAAAGAAACAGACCACTCGTGGGCTTCCATGGGCAGTAGAACAAAAATGTGAGTTTTGGGGTTTTTTTTGTCCCGACCCCTTATAGAGATGGTGGGAAAATTAAATAAAAATAGGCAGACTCCATATACAAAGCAAGGCAAGTTAGATATGAATCAGGGCATAAAAAAAACACACACACAGCCTAGTCATAAGAAAAAGGGGAGAAAATATCCATTCCCACAACTATTAACTAAAAACAATATACAGTTACTACTCATGACCCCACAGCCACGGCCCATGTCACAATAATAGGAATCCCTAGATAATGCTAGCCTGACTGTAATAAATGAAGAGATGACAATGGTAACTCAGGACCACAGCAGTAATATCCGGCATGAATCATCTAGGAGCTCTTGATAGCAGAATCTCATCAAAGAACACAAAACAAACTAAAAATAATCCAGAAAAGGAGGAATCAATTTTCCTGAAAATACGAAACTGGTAGATGTGAGGGGTTATGTCCTTAAAGTGGCAGGCTTTTAGTTTTTTTGCCTGTAGGCATAAGCCATCTCAGAATTCTTCACAGTGGTGTCCCTCAATGGACGATGGAGAAATCAACTTTTTGTCTTGAATTCCTCCCAGAACGCAGGTATGCTTTTCCTGACATACAGTATGACTGTGCCTACAGCCTCATCTATGGTCATCTAACACACTGCTGCCTCCGATTGCTACACTCCCCGGATTTGGAGTGTGATTTCAGCAATGGGCTGCTAACTCCTTGCTGGAGAGAAAGCTGTACCCAAGGACCTGGAATGCAAGAATATTTCTGCTTCTACCTCATTTATTCTGTGGATCTGTGCTTTCTCTAACTCTCCTGCTGCTTTTTGATTGTTATCCCACCAATCATCAGGGGGGCAGCTCTGACATAAGGAAGCTAAGCCATGTCTCTACCAAGATGGTGACCTCCACACAGAGACAGTGTGGAATCAGTCAAGGTAAGACAGTAAATTGTAAAAAGATCAGTTGCAGGGAGAACCTAAAGTCAACACTGGTGACTAGGCTTTCACAGTAGAGGTCCTCTTGTAAAACAAGATAAATGAAGGCCACCACAGCATAACAACGGTGTAATGACTTTTGCTTTAAGGTGCAGTGAAACACCAGTTTGCCCTTACCTTATTGGTCATGAAGGCGAGACGATCAGCCTGAGGTATTCGGTTTACCAGTTCTGCCCCTTCCAGCAGCGCAGAATCAGAGTGTGTATAACACTGGGAACGTACCAGGGACACATACCACTCCTACAACGATAAACACCAAACATGAGTCATTAACTTCGCATAAGGCCAGCATATAACAGGACACTCGATCGCTGAGGGTCACCCACCTCATCGGGGTCCAATGTTTCCAGTCGTGGGTGACTGTCCCCGTCCAGCGGGTGAGAGGTCATTAAAGGTAAGGGGCTAACTGTGTCTGAATCCACGGTCACCCGGTATCTGTCCAGCAGAGAGAAAAGTCTTTGGTGCCTAAAAAGGGAAAAGATCACAGATTGAAACCGAAAGAATGTAGAAATCGAAAGAAATACATTTCTGCATGAATATTCTTTTCTATAGTGCAACTTCGACCCATAATAATGAATCCTAGTTATTCTTAGTAGCTGGTGTACCATGTATTTACTCAAGAGGAGACTTTTATCTTTCATTTCATCACTTTCTCTTAAGTATTAAAAACACCCGACAATGGCAATGTTTCCCATTATATCCATACTCTACTACTTGATCAGCATAGTGAAATCTTTTTGCCAAATAGATCTTGCCTACATACAATCAGTGACATTTAGCTAAAACACCGGATGCCCCTCCAGGTGAAAACAAACCTCTTCAATTCAACCTTCAGCTCTGTGCAAACATCTAGGACACAATTTTGGACCAAACAAACAGGAAATGGGCTTTCTGGGGAGACATTCCCTGTCCATAACATGCTATCCTTTCCAGAAGGATTGGACTTTCTCAGTGTCAAGTCCTCCTATAGGCAGGATATATAACTCTGGATATTCCAGCAAAACGGGGAAAACATAAAGCTCGTAAGCTATACATATTAAGTGGGAAAGAGAGAAAAGGAGGGGGGAGAGAGAGAGAGAGAGAGAGAGAGAGAGGGAGACGAGAAAAGGAGGAGAGAGAGAGAGAGAGAGAGAGAGAGAGAGAGAGAGAGAGAGACGAGAAAAGGAGGAGAGAGAGAGGGAGACGAGAAAAGGAGGAGAGAGAGAGAGAGAGAGAGAGAGAAAAGGAGGAGAGAGAGAGAGAGACGAGAAAAGGAGGAGAGAGAGAGAAAGGGAGACGAGAAAAGGAGGAGAGAGAGAGAGAGAGAGAGAGAGAGAGAGAGAGAGAGAGAGACGAGAAAAGGAGGAGAGAGAGAGGGAGACGAGAAAAGGAGGAGAGAGAGAGGGAGACGAGAAAAGGAGGAGAGAGAGAGGGAGACGAGAAAAGGAGGAGGAGAGAGGGAGAAGAGAAAAGGAGGAGAGAGGGAGAGAGAAGGAGAGGAAGAAACAACAGGTTCCCACTTGGATACACATCAGAGATCAGCTGAGAGACCATATGATCACATAAATGTTGTTCAAACAAAATTAGCATATTAAAAAAAAATCAATTTATTGCAAGAAAATATATAAACAAGAAAAGCAAGTAAAAGAGGAGAGGGAGAGAAGGAGGAGAGCAAGGGAAAGAGGAAGAAAAAGTAAAACAAAAGAGGAACAAAGAAAAAAGAAGTGTGAAAAAGAGAGAAAAAAAAGGAAGAAAAGCGGACCGAGAAACAAGGAGAAAACGAGACAAAAATAATAATTAAAAAAGGAGGGATGGAGGGGTAAAGAGCAGGGGAGGGGAAAAAAATTAGGAATAGGGTAAAAGAGAAAAGGTAAGGGAAAGATTGGGTAGGTAGGCGATTAATAACACAAACCCGGATTTCTGAGGTTATCATGGAAATAAATAGCAATACACTGAGCATTTTCTTTTACCTTTGTGCTAAGCCACTGCTCTGCAGATACTCTTGTATCCTATCCAACTCTTCTAGAGGTAACTGAGACATGCTATTCTGTAATGATACAAAATATCTGTCATACACAATTAACAAGGAAGACATGAAACAGTGTTATATCCTGTGGAATGGATGTTACGTACCTGAGCCGCCAACAGCATTTCCACCCGACGACAGGCCAGTGTATCCACCATGCGAGCCAGCACACGGAATGGGGTACACAGCAGCTTGTCTATATATAACATCAACACTGCACCGGACTGACTCAGGTGAATGCCTTCCAAGCACTGCAATGTCTTCTTCAGAGAAGTCGGCTGGTGGATGCAAAATAACTTTGTAAATATGTATTCAAAATCTGTCTGGTCAATGTATCATTTTACTGATCTCCGGCCTTCCCTACAGTCTTCCACAGTCGTTCCGGCTCCTCTTCTGTACTGAACAGATTATTTTGATTTCACTGCACACCTTGAGCTGCTCACAATGTACATTAGAAGCTGCAACAAGTCAGATAGAGCCTGCCTCATTTGCTGGCTAGGGGACACTCAGAATCATCTAGCTCTTTCCTCCACAGCCTTAATGGCTCTGGCCAGCTCCTTTCATTAAGAGGACTTCAGTATTTTTATGGAAGCTCAGCATCCGATTTGGGTGTTACCTGGGGGCAGTGTGCATGCAAATGCAGTCTGTCTAGGTACACCCACCCATCAAGGAATTTTGATATTTACATAACTCCTCCAGAAGTCAGCTGACTGCTTGCATCAGGGAAGAGGGCTTGTGATAGGATTAGTGAGGCAGGGTTCTGTGATGTTTTCAGGAAGCTATGTATATAGCATCCTGCCGGCATGACCTGCCTGGATTGCTCAGGGAAGCACAGAAACCCAGGGATGATGCAACTGGATTTTACATGAAGTAATTCAAGGAGAACTATGAGGAGTGCTTTTCACTCACCTCATAGTTCTAGCCGACCTGTGACAATGAAACTGTCACAGATCGGCTCAGTAGATCGGGAGGTGAGCGAACACATACCGGCGTTTGCTCACCTCTCGATCCTGTCACGGCTCTCTGCAGTGACAGGTGAGGGGCTGGATTACCCCCTCACCGCTCCGAACCGCCAGCACTGATTGGTGGAACGGACGGGGCGGGTACAGCTGGCTCTGCCTCTAGATGGGCAGAGCCAGCTGTCAGTCACGCAGCTGGGCAGATCCCGGCACAATTGTCACAGCTCGTGGTATACTGAGCCTAGGGTGACGGGAGGACGCTAGTTTGTGTCCTCCCGTTACCCTAAGAAGAACTATGGGGAAAAGACTTAACCCCATAGTTCTCCTTTAAAAGGGAAAGATCTAATTTAAAAATGTAAATAGCATGTTGATTGGGTTGGGGGGGGTGGATGGAGGAGCTTTAAAGTAAACAAGCAGTATAATCCAGATATGCAAACCGAGTAATGACTGCACAGCTGGAGGCACCCAGTGCCAGTACCCATGTGCCAGATGCGTCACATAGACTAAGGGCCTGTGTCAATGGGCTTTGATGGGCAGTTTGAGGCACTTCTGAGATCATTCAGAATTGCAGTTGCATTTGACCTGTTTCAGCTGAGTTTGCTTACTCACAGACTTGTATGGAAAGAGAAGTAGTTCTACAGCGAACAACCACCCGCCCACAAACCCAGTGTGGACAGAAAAAAGCAATACTGATATTATGACTATGGATATAAGCGTCTCCAGTACATAAGGCATCAATGGGTGTTCAGGAAACGGGAACATGGCTTGTCTGATTCCATTCCTTTGGTGTGTCACATCATCACTGCATTTACAGGAAATTGCTGAATGTCAATCAATCAATACAGCTCATTTCTGCTGCTGATAACTGCTTTTCTTAAAGTGGAGCTACAGGCAACATCCAAGTCACCAACATCAGCACAACAGTTTATGTTCCTCTGAGTCCTCGTTTTAACATTGCTTCATTATTTGTTGATCCCGCCAGTAGATCCTTTTTATCTCAACTTCCTTTAACAAGGTTCATTATGCAGTGATATCACACAGCAGCATTGTCAAGCTGTAGACAGGATAGTCGTAGATGGACATGTAGTTTTAAACCAATTTTAAAAGAGAAGTAAAGCCTAACTTTTTTGGGGGTTTAACTTCTCTTTTGGGTCACAAGACTATTTAATAATGTACTCCTGTGACCCAAAGTCAGCATATAGCGGGCTACTGCCCACTATATGCTGACAGAGCATAGCCGCACCGCAGCCACGAAGGATCCAGCCAGCTGCCTAATTGACAGTTGGTTCTACCTCTCTAGTGCCAGAGCTAGCTCTGCCCGCTATATGCTGATAGTGCAGCATTGTGCCAAAGCCTGGAAGGATCCTGACAACATTGTTTGGGAGCCAGCCAACTGCCTAATTGACAGCTGGTTTTGCCTCTCTAGAGCCAGAGCTAACTGTACCCAACCCCTCCTCTGTCTGTTCCTTCACTGAGCACTGGATGAATGGAGAGGGGAATCCCTGCAGGGCGCGGTGACTGACAGGGAGGAGACCATGAGCTGAGCGATCAGCAGTTACATGATCACTCAGCTCTTGGTATACAGAGCCAACGTGTGATAGCTGCTATGTCCCACAATGGCTCTAAATATATGATATTTTACTCTTCTAATACTTCTCTTTTAAGAAAGGGACACACACATTAATGCCAGCCAACACTATTAAAGCCTTTACAGCCAAAACGTTTGTCCTTTTGGAAAAAGTTTAATTGGTCTATGTGCAATATGGAGAAAGATTTAAATAAAGGCACGTGAAATTAAAAAATAAATTTGTACACTAAACACTTTGCTTACAGACAACAGCCACATATATTTACCCCAATGCAATATTTTTTTGCTTTAGTCAGCCTTTAAATGACAACTTGGCACCATGCAACTGAAAGCACACAGACATCTGTAAGGCACTACACTTTTTAAAAGGAGAACTATGGGGTTAAGGCTTTTCCCCATAGTTCTCCTTAGGGTAACAGGAGGACAGAAACTAGCGTCCTCCTGTCACCCTAGGCTCAGTATACCGCAAGTTGTAGCTCGCCGTATACTGAGACGCCACAGTATACCGCGAGCTCCTGCTCGCGGTATACTGAGACGCCGCAGCTGAAGCGGATCCCGACAGTTGTGTCTGGATCCGCCCAGCTGCGTGACTGACAGCTGGCT